ATGTAATACGTGTGTGAAAGAAATTAGTTATTTTTAGTCTGTTTAGATAAATACATGTACCATCATGATCACAACACATATCATCATGTTCACAACAAAATTAGCACTGCCATTCAATTGCCTTATTAATTTTGCCTTTTGATGAGACAGCACAGTAACATAAAACCCATTACTAAGCCTAGGCTGTAAGTCCCTGCTGAATTGTCTATGCACTACTGATATTGTTTCACTGTGTCTTTTAAATTACAGTACAAACCTGTTATTTGTGTAAAGTAATAAAATGATATCACACCTGAAAACTAAAAATGAGACGTGCTTCATATGTAAGTGATGTAAATGAAAGCAAAGGCACTGAAACGCTGTTTTCTTTGCAGATGATGGCAAGCTTTCCTTTGATGAGTTCAGAGCCTACTTCTCTGATGGAGTGTTAACAGGAAATGAACTTCAGGAGCTGTTCCACACTATCGACACTCACAACACCGAGTAAGAACAGAAACAAAAGAACTCTTATTCCTATGAAAAAGATTGCTTTATGATTGCTTCCTGAACTGCGGGTACTGCACGTACAGTTATTGAGCCTACTTTGTGCCATGCTGTGCATAACGAATTATACAAAAAGGAGTAAGTACAGGTTAATGCTGAAAAGTAAACAGAAGAAGCAGAATGTTTTGACTGCTGAGCCTTTTTTAGGTGTGTATAATGTATTAATTATAATAATCAGTATACTGCCATCCTGATGGGTGTTTATTCCCTCATGATCAGCCAATATAAGCATAATATCACTCTCACCTGTTCCTGTAAAAGTATGTGTTGAGTCAAGTTACAGACTCATTGGGCTAATGATGACACTTCCTGGTGCTCTCCTGATGAAGTGCATGCGGTATGATAAAAAGAAATCAGGAGATATTTATGGAGTTGACTAGGCAGCATGTGCTCTGTATAGACTATTTCAACTCATCTGCTGGGAAAACCCTAGACGACTACATTCAGCCAACAACATCTTCCTTCTTTCTTGGATTCCAGATAAGAAACAGAAGAGAGAGACAGAGATACAAATACAGTAGGTATTGAGTAGGAGCTGGCTAGCCCTCATGTGTGATAAGAATTAATGAGTCTTGATTGTCACTCTATTTCACCTGGCTGATACTGCCTTCATATACTGTATAGTGGCACTGAGATTATAAGGTTTTATTTAGCCACAGGCTAAGTTTTAATTGCTTTTATAAAGAAATTTAAAATAAATTGGAACCAGAGTAATACATTTCTGGATCTGGGTTTATTATGAAACTTGAGAATAAAAACATCTTGTTTAAAAAGCAGTGATCTAGACTCTGGACTGCTGTTCTCCAAAATAATGCACTTTCCTCAGAATGCAAAATGTCCTGCTTGTCTGAATAGCCTCAGATCTAAGTTGCTTTGGGTAAATGTGCCAGCAAAATAAGTTAAAAATAATGGTATATAACCTCAAGGCACTGTATCATAAAAGGAACACACACATCAAAAAAGTAAATTACACAGAAGTAAAAACTAGATAACAAAAGGGATTTGAAAGTGCTGGCTGTCTGGAAAGGTCTGGGAGATCAATGCAATGGTGCAGTATATGGAATGAAGCATTATCCAGTGGTACAGTGGTTAGCTGGGCCTTGGATCCAGTTCCAGACCTGGGGTGATATCTGCGTGGGTTTGTATGTTCTTCCTGTGTCCGCATGGGTTACCTCTGAGTGCTTGTTTCCTCCCACTGTCCAAAGACATACTGGTAGGTTAATTGGCAACTTAGAACACTGGACAGTTGGCCCTGGAGTGAGTGTTGATCTGCTCCCTGCCATGGACTGGCACCCTGCCTCATACCAGTTGCTTGCAGGCATGAGCTCCAGCTCCCCTGTGACCCTGCAATAGATGAAGAAGTTAGAAAATAAATGGATCTGCTTGTGTATTAGTCAGGGGTGATGTTTTGCAATTTTGTTTTGTTTGTGTCATTAAATCTTTAAATGAAAAATGATTATTATCAAACAAACCCTTATTTTAACAAGTCTGTTGAGAACAGATTCTCATTTGCAGTTGTTTCAGCATTAACAGTTTTAGTGGTGCTTCTTCAGTTATGCTTTACGGATCCTTTCGTCATCAAAGGGAGAGAGTATTGTCATACTGAGGTATTTGTCCACTTCACACTTGCAAAACCACACCCATGAATTTCACTATAGCTTAGTTTTATTTTGTTACACTGAAAATCCTTTCTCAGCATACAGTATGTTACAATTCATATGACGTATATACAGTTATCTTTCTCCAAAACTGTTCCCTTCTGTCTTTTTTCCAGACTGATATTACATTCAAGTCATTTTGGTTTCCATAGCAGCAGATATTTTTCCCCAGTAGATACTGCAGGCCTTTGTAGTCTAGGTTTTGGTATACATTTATTATTATTGTGGCTGTGAATTCTAGTAACAGCTCTGGCAGTGTTAATATTTATTGTAGAGAAGGTCTGTGTTTGTAAGGTGTATTTTCTTGGAAATTCCTCTTTGATGGAGCAGAGACTTCTGAGCTGATGAAGCAATAGGAGATCTCTCACTTGGCATATGAGGGGGAAACTCTGTAGGGCTGATTTTGAGTCTGGGCTTTTTCATCAGACCACTGTGACCTGGATTCCCTGAGGGGCAGCTGGCACTGGTTGAGTTCCGCTGGAGGTACTGTATGTGGACTTGAGCTGGAAAAAATACCCTCAGCCTGCAGTTTACCAGTAGCCCCTTTGACAGCTAGACACCTGTGAAGCTGTGAGCTTAAAGTACGGGACTCTGGCCCTGAAAAGTTGTAGTAGTCTGGGTGAAGTGAGCACACATTTCACCCCTCTGTGTTATTACAAGGGCTGGAGCCCAGTAGTCTAACCCAACAGTAAAGTTGAGCTGAGGGGTGTGGGAGTCAGGAACAAGGCTTTCTTCAAGCAACAACTGGATGAGAAGCGGCTAACTTCAAAAACTTCTAGATGGGCTGAAAGATCTGCTCTTGTTTGTAACCTTTCTCATATTCTTCTGAGTCAGTTTAACAGTTGTCAATGCCAGTTTGGTGGGGGACTTTAATAGTGAAAATAGTGGCCTTTCCCCAGTTGGAAAATAAAAATAAAGAAATTGTATTGAAAAATAAAAGTGTATCGTCAAGATCTGGCAGGAACGAACAGGTATCATTCGATTCCAAGTTTGAATTTCAGGGATATGCATGTTCTCACAACATCACCAAGCACTGCAGAAGACAGTACGTACCTGCTTATGGTTAAAAATACACATGTAGCATATACTGTTGTGAAATCAAAAGCCTGCATGTTTCATTTAATTAAATTACTCTCACTCTCACTGTACGTCTGAGCAAATGAGTGTAACATTATGAGCAAACATACAGTGCTGTGAAAAAGTAAGTACACCTCATGAAAAGGTGTGTGTGTTTTTGTGGACATTTTGCGAAGGTCCACTTACAGTTCAGTTTTAGCTTTTTGACAGATGGCCTCACATTCTCCTCAAGTACTCTCTGGTACAATGTGAAAGGCCCTAAGGCAGAAAAGCAGCCCTAAACCATAAT